GTTCACTTGGAGAAACTGTTTTATAGTAAAACATTGTAGCTTAGCTACATATTGACAGTCAAAGGCGATTTCGCAATCTTTCTCAAAACCGATTCCATTTTGTTATTAACCCTCAACGGAAAATTTGAAATCCGTTAGAGCTCTGCGTTTGCTCTGTTCTTAAACTAGTTCTTCTTCTGTTTCATTGAGGTATTTTCTGTCTCAGAATCTTCAAAACCCTCTAACTTATAAGAGTCTTTGAACTCTAAGACACAGACTTCTCCAAAGATCAAATTAACCATTTTACACTATTGACTCCCATATTTCTTAAATGGTGTTTCATTTATCTATAATGATTTATTACAACTAGGTGACATGATGACATTGTCCTTTGAATTTATGAAACCAAACATCTCTTACAAACTATCACTTTGAGGCCATGTTTCATGTGAAGGGCCATTGAAGGAACTTTCTCGATCTTGTGCCCTTCAACGATCTTGATGTCATAGTTTTGTATGATCTCAATAGCCATTGTCTTCATCTGCAAGAAAGACTATTTTTTCCCCAAGCAATTCCTCGGACCAGAGTTAAACACGAGGAACTTGAAAGAAGGTTCATGTTTTAAGCTATTTCTGTCAGAGATCCATCTCTCTGGTTTGAATTGGGACACATCCTCTCCCCACACAGCTCTCAATCTCCCCAAGGCATAGATAGAGAACAAAATCTTCCAATTTGTGTCCACTTGGAAGCACATCTTGCTTTATTGGAGACTTCCGTTCATACGGGAATGGAGCGTAGAGCCTTAATGATTCACACAATGCACCATGTAAATACACCATCTTATTTCACTTGTCTGGATCTAAACTCTTGCCGGATCTTGGTAAATTTGTGTTGATATCTTGACGGATCTTGGTCACAACTTCAGGGTTCTCAGAGAGAAGCCAGAAGAACCAAGTGAGATTTGTGGAAAAGCCGTCTCTTCCGGCAAGCATGAAACTCTTGATGATGTCTTTGAGGAAGTTATCGTCTTTTGGGTTGATAATCTCGTACTTGGAAGTATCAAGTTTCATGTAGAAGCTTAATATATCCTCATCATGAGCTTCTTCTCCAATATTGGAGTGTTGGCAACTTTGTATTACCTCTCTCTTTGAGGATATATACTTTGCACATAATCTGTCGAAAGCAACATTAGCTTTTACCATCTTCTTCTCTTCTCCGAGTCCAATCCAGTTTTGTAGCTTTCACAAGATCATAGGCTTAACATGTCTATACACTCTCACCTTTTGAGCATCATCGATAGCTTTCGAATATTCATCTTCCGACATCTCGATGGAAAGAGAATTAGAGTCATAACCCGTTACCAGAGCAAGGGTTACATCGAATGCTAACCTCTGGAACACGCCTTGTAAATCGAAAACTGCATTCGCCTCTGCAAAATGATCGAGAACTGGCACAAGCCCGTTCTTGATTTTACTCGTGAGGGTCCTCAATGAGAAGCTTTGAAGCCCTTGTTCGCTAAGCATGACCAGTGCAGATTTCCTCAGTTCCTCCCAGAGTTTCGAGTCCGCAGTGAAGATCCCTTCTCCAAGAAAATCAAAGATCTCTTTGAACTCCGATCCTTTGTCATAACTGGAGAAGTTGGTACTGAAAACATGTTGAATGTTTGCAGGATCTGCAGTGATCAATATGTTCATTCCAGAGAACCATGGGCCTTTGAATGCAAAAGTCAAGTTGGAGACCTCGAGATCCTCCGCGACGTAGTCATGAATCCTATGAAGCACGACGAGCACACCTGGAAGCATCCCGAGAACAGGCCAGTTTCTTGGTAAGATTTGATGGGATTTCTTGTGGATCAAGAAATGGATAAAGATATAGACAAGGAAAGCTATAAAGACTTCAAGCAAGCCTATGTAAGCCATTGGTAGAAAAGGTTTGTTTCTCCTGGATATTAACAAAGATAGAGAGATACAAGAAACTTGGCTTTGCTTCTTTGGTATATTTATAGCTATTAGGAACCATGCAGAGTTTAGAGATTTTCTTTCCATTAAAAGTTTAAAACAAAAGAAAAGACAAATAATTTTTCCCTTTACATTGATATACTAGTCAAAATTCAACTCAACGATGGTAGTTGGTACTAACATCTAGCCATGGCTTATAATCTAACTGAAATTGTTACATACAATAATTTTGCATTTAAATATAGAAAAAAATACTCAAATCCCATGGAACTATGCGAATATGACTAAAATACCATATATTTTTCAAAAATGACTCAAATATTTTCACACCTCTGTTTAATTACGATAAACACCTTTGATTAATTTTTCTTAATTGAAATTATTTTTAATTAAAAAATCAAAAACAAATTCACATCATTAAAAAATAACCGTGATCAGAAAAGAGTAAAGTTTTAGTGCCAAAAGAAAAAAAAAAAAGTCAAGTTTCAAAAGCAAAATTGTTTAAGTTCTCCTCTCAAAGGAAAAAAGAACGCAAAAAAAAAACCACAAACTTTCTCAACTGTTCTTTCGAAATCGACATTGTTTATTCCCTCGTGATCGTCTTCTCCACAATCGAAATCGACTTCCCTCGTAATCGTCTTCTCCGCAGTCGCCTATAATTGTGGCTAAGTTATAACTTATGTTGTGGCTGAGTTATGGTATAGAAACACGAAACGTCGCGACAC